CCAAGATCGCTGCTGTAACAGTGGATTACATGAAATAACATGTAACAGGCTAATCCAATTTGTAAAAAAATCCACATATTCTTTAACGAGCAGGAGGAACTCTGTAGGTTGGAGCACCTAGTACAGAGAAAGGCATTAAATCTCTAGGGTAGTTGCTGGGAGAGGGACCCAGTGACACCATCTGAAGCATGGGTGAGTCCTGGGATAAGATGCCCATTCATCTCTGTGGTGCTGGGGAATGTGCACAGTCTCAGTACACTGCTGACAGAAAAGACTGAATACTTTATATGTAGAAAACCCTGGGAGGATTGCTGTTAAGTCAGGATTGACTTAATTTGTTGTTGTCATTGTTTACCTAGCAAACTGGAATATACTGTATATTTAAAATGTTCCGTCACTTCTGGAGTTGTGTGAGAACATCCACATTTATCAAAAAATGAACTTATGGAGATTAGAATAATAGAATCATAGAATAAGTGCGTTGGAAGGGGCCTATAAAGCCATCACGTCCAACCCCCTGTTCAATGCAATTATAATAAACACACTGAAATGTCGTTGTTTTGTCTTTGCCCAAGCCATGCTTGTTGTTTTGTCCTCTCCTTTTTGCCCTTGTTCTGGACACAATATATTTTCCAAGCAAATCACCACTTTTCATGCAACATGCTCTGAAAAGGACTAGGATGTCCAACACAGCTGCTACCTTCTGCCATCCAGGTTTCCAGAAATAAATATTAAACCTCTTGATGCTCAAGATGAGAAGCAAGCAGATGTGTGCTCCTTTTCTAAGACAACTGTGTACTTGTTGGGGGAGGGGGTATTTTAATTGAAGCTAAATGACCTTCTTGCCCAACTCTCTTTTGCATGCTTACATAAGCGATAAGCAGAGGAACAGACTCTGGCGGAGTTGCCAGCCTCTGCTCCAGAGAGGTTCTTGACCAAAATAGCAAGGCTTTTTGTAGGTCAGGCATGAAATGCTGTGGAGTGGCTTGTGTCAAGGGAGAACAAAATACGCACCACAGAGTACTAGATTTTGCTTCAGTCAACTCTGTCAGAGCACGTCTTACAAGATCACCAAATGTCACCCATTTTCAAGTCTTCTTGAGAGTACCAGTGGCTTTGGAGAAACGATGCTTGGAAGAACTTAGCAGAGCCTTTAGAACAGGGTCAGAATCTGTGGAGAGGCTCAGAATACTGCATCTATAATTCATACTGTGTCCTGAATTTCTTAAAAGTGTGCTTGAGCCTCCTTTGCTAAACTATATCTATATAAAACTCAATCCTGTTTCTGATTAGAGATTAACATTGGTTTCCATGGTGCAGCACCTGTTTCTATTACTAACATGGAATAAGATTTGATTGATTTTGCTATACGGCTGTAGGGTTCTATAATCAAGGAACTGAGGTGGTGGAAGAAAATGTGGAAAAGAAAAAATGCTCTCGCTGACAGAACAAAAAGAAAATTTGCCTCAGTCTAAAGTACTGACATGTTTATTTCAACCGACATGATTCACAATAAAGGCTCAATTATACAGGGCAGCTAGAATCAGAGCTGCCATGGAAGATGAATCATTCTGCTAATTTTCTGATTCATGTTGGCACTTCGGCAGTCACACAAGCTCAGTGTGATTTAAAAAAAAGTTGAAAATGTAAACATAGCAGTCTGTAATTATAAAAGCAAGACACAAGTTTGTTCTAATTATGTCTGCAAACTGACAAGAGCAGCCTCCTTCTGCTACTGATTTCTGGCTTCTTCCACCTCTATTTTCACTCAATTTCCAACTAAACTAGGATAAACTATGACTAAACAAGGAACACAAGACTGCCAACATGCACGACTAAGACATGTCCACCCCACTGCCAGCAGGAAAACCAGTGGGAGGGTGCTGTAGGATCCCAGCCTTAACTTATGGGATGGGGAGTGAAATCGCAGACCCCACTTGTGTTGTTCCTGACCTGTTTTTGTTTCAGTCTGTAAGCAGGTAAGCGCAGCTGCTGTGTTTGTTTCCCACATATGCCTCTGACCCTAAACTAGTGCCTAGAGTCATTCATGGCAGTTTCTACAACACTTTCCCCTTGAGTTTCTCCGTGCCAGGCTGCCCACAGCATCACATTACCAGTGCCGTTTACTGCCACGCCACTGCCTATTGGGAGGCTTCGTAAGAGAGGTATGCAAGTGGAGCTGGACAGAACCATGCTCTCATGCCCTTTCTAATCTGGTATTAATTTTGTGCTAGGGATGTAAATCCTGGACTGTCTCATTCATGTGCATGAGCATGAGAAACCCCACAAAATTCTCTTTTCACTGCCAAGAAAGTAAAATATTTTCATGTACTCTCACTGAGACTGTGAGGAGGCCAGCACTCGTGTCCATGGCAGGCCATCTGCCATCGCCCTACACATTCCTGAGATCCTAGGTGGAGTAGCCGCTCTGGGTTCTCAAGAAGGTTGGTAAGAAGGAAGCCAACATATCTCTGGGGAACTGAGAGACAGGCCTATCTGACAGGTCTATCTGTGTCCTCAGCTACTTCTTGCTGATTCTATAAAGTATGAAATCCTTAAAACTTATAATATAGTACAACATATCTCTGGGGAACTGAGAGACAGGTCTATCTGACAGGTCTACCTGACTGTGTCCTCAGCTACTTCTCGCTGATTCTGTAAAGTATGAAATCCTTAACACTTATAATATAGTATCAATTATGGATATTTAGTAGAAATATGTGGCAGGAAGAATATAATTTGAATGGGGTTCATTGCCGTAAAAAAATAAAAGTCCTTTAAAAATATGTCTTAAAGAGGTGCTTTAAATGTAAAATGCACGAAGTTGGCATTCAAAATGTATTATACTGTCCACAATATGGTATTAAGGAAGTACTCCAAGGAATCATTTTTCCCAGCAACAAGCTATCTTAGCAGGAAGCTGAGTCGACCCATAGCTGTCTGGAGAAGCTGACATTGCTTATCCACAGGAAAACCAAAGCTCAGCGTTATCACTGTTTTGTTTAAGAAACACAGAGTGCATGAAAATAGAGATTTCCATCAGCTTTACAGAACATCTCCAAAAGGACGAGATCATCTCACTGAGATCATCTCACAGAGAACATCTCCAAAGAACAACAGCCACCTGCTTTTTGCAAATAAGTGGAAAGATGCAGATGGACTGAGAGTGGCCAGGAGATAACCATGGGAATAACATAGATAAAGTCTGAGAAAGATGGGTGAGCTATTCTTTTTTAGAGAAAATAATTTTCTGTGTGTCAACTACATGCTTAGAGCTAAATACAGTGGTGCCTCACTTGACAACATTAATCTGTTCCAGCAAAATTGCTGTACAGTGAAATCGTCACAAGCGGGGGAAAAACGCATTGAAATGCATTGAAAACCTCTCAATGCGTTCCAATGGGCTAAATAGCAAATCGTCCCGTGAAGATTCTCCATAGGGAGGCCATTTTCTGGTGCGTCTCTTGCGAAAAATCCATCCTAAAAACAGCGGGGAGCCATTTTGCACAGCGGGCAGCCATTTTGAGAGCCACCAATCAGCTGTTTTCAGACCATCGTTAAGCGAAAAATCGGTTCCCAAAGCAGGGAACCGATCATCGTGAAGCGAAATTTACCCATTAAAACATCATTTTGTGATCGCAAAAGCGGTTGTAAAAACCTCATCGTCAAGTGGATTCATTGTTTAACGAGGTAATCGTTAAGCGAGGCACCACTTGTAATGCTTTTCATTTTGTATTTTCTGATTGTAAGAACTCTGATGCTCTTTAATGTATTTTAAAGAAAGCCTTTAATGCTATATTGATTTTTTACTTTTAAATGAAATATTATAAAGATGTATTCTTTACCTTATTAGGCTATAAACTCTTATTGTCCATTTTACTCTTGGAGGAGTCTATACTCTTAATGAAGATGCTCCTGCATGTCAGAGTGTAACTTAAAGCATTCTTTTTTGATATTTTATTGTACTTATGCTCCTATGTTTTTCACTATATTAGTTCCTGTATTTCAACAATTTTATGTTGTGTATTCAAGTGCAACTTAATTTCACCCTCTAAACCAGTGATCCCCAACCTCGGGCCTCCAGATGTTCTTGGACTACAACTCCCGGAAGCCTTCACCACCACTTCTGTTGGCCAGGATTCTTGGGAGTTGAAATCCAAGAACATCTGGAGGCCCAAGGTTGGGGACCACTACTCTCTGACAACACTCCTTATATTACGAGACAAGTGGCCAAATTCTGTGCGGCAGCAATGGTTATTCGTAATCAAATGTTTGGATAGGGGATTTTAGATGGATATGTTTTTAATATAACACTGATTGAGGTTTTATTTATATCAAGGATACACGATGTTATTAACTGGAAAGAAGGGTTGTTTTATCATGTTTTATTGGAATTTTTTTACCCTGACTGATCTTACCAAGCTATAATTATATGTATCTATTTTATATTGATTTGGTTTTACTGGTCTTTGACCGTAATAAAGTATTCGATTCGATTCGCTCTAAACATTTAAGTACTTTGGCCTCCAGCTTTGTTCATAGCAGTAAGGATGATTTTGCAAGATGTAGCAACATGTCTGTGACTTCTCAAAAGTTACATGTTTGTAATATTTTTGATCTTTATGCTTTTCATAGAAATGATATAAAAATATAACTTGTTTAAAATTAACAAGTTCTGGAGTGGCCTGGAATTACTGCAACAACAAAGACACTTATAATGAGATATCCAAACGAATTTACAAACAGCTGGTGACTGATTATTTGGTTTGGTTCTGGTATTAACCTTCTACAGGGATAATGTCAGCTATGACGAATCATAGAATCTGTTCTCTTTACCTGGGAGGCCTGTAAATCTTATAGGACTCCTGGGGGAATGAATACTCCAAATCAGAATCTGACAGTAGGCAGGAAAAGCTTTCTAGGATTAGATTACAACAGGATGATTTCCTAGAACTGTAATATTGACTGAAAGCATATGCCATAGTTACAGTTGTTCTAACCTCTTGCTTGTAGACCAGGACCACATGTCTCCTGGGCACCAGGGCTGTCCTGACGAACATACCACGGTACGAGTTGACACCTGCGCCACTTGTGTGTCTTCCATCTGCAGCAGGAAAAGGAGCACACAAAGACAAGCCATAGCATCTGTCAGAATTTTACACGAGCAAGCATGAAAATTAAAAAAAAAAAAGATCAACATATTCTCTTTCATATCAGCCACATCTTTTTTCCCCTGTAAGGTGCTACTTACTTCCATAGGAATTCAGGAGTAAATCTGCATATTTGAGCTGCTGCTCATTTTCATATACACAAAGATAAAGCCCAAAGACCATTTGTGAAAAATGATGCCTACACTGGGATTTGAATTCCCAACATCTATAATGTTATTGCATTTCATGCATTAATCAAGATTCCTAGTTTCTTTCTTTTTTTTCCCCTTCTTTCCTTTCTTTTTTGCATCAGCCATAAGCCTTTGCAAGCAACAAATCATATGGAATAAACACTATCAACATTAGCGCAGTAAGATTCAACCAACAGTCCTGTTAGCTTTGGCACAACGAAGGAGGAACACAAGATCTTGACCTCTGTCTCAGGAAGTAAATGATAGTGGGCTACAGTTCTCCAGACTGATGACTGGAACTGCATAATTTTATGTTCTTTCACAAAAGAAAGGTAGTTTTATCTTTAACAGGAATGAAAAGCCTTAGTTGTCCTCTCCTCACAAGTAAGGAGGAGGAATTTCAAAATTATTCTCCTTCGACCAAAGGAATTTCTGGGGTTTTCAATGGAGTTTGGCAAAAGTGATTATTTTACAGGGGGGAAATGCCCATTTTTGGCAGAAATGTGGAACTTGTGAATTGCACAGATCACGCAGATTGTCCAGAATTTGAATGACTGTTAATTTATTCAACAGTTTCAAGCAACAGAAGGTTTGTTGACCATCTTTCCTATCAACCAGTTCTTCTCTGTTTGCTATGTGCATGAGGTTTGCTTTGCAAAGTGAAAGTATACTAAAGATATTTTATACAAATTACAGAGACTTTGAATGAGGAGAAAGAGTTCTTTGTCTCGCTCCCACCAGAAAGCAAGGAATCCTCTAGAGTCTTAAAATTCTAAGTGTCTTGTAATGTTGAGAAAGACAAAAATCAATGGCAATACGGAATTTGATGAGTATTTTATCCACCACTGCTGTTGTATCTAGTATTCCGAGTGTGTTTACCATTTTCAGACAGAAGAGAGGGTTGAGAGCTAAAAGCCGCAATCTGAAATGGTGCAGCCCAGGGACATCAGAAAACAGAATGGATCTAACCATTACCTTGGATCATTCACATGTTATTGGATCATGATTCCAGTGTCAGTAAAATGGCTGAAATTATAGATAAAAACACTTGTGAGTCTGGAACTGGGAAAAACTGGAGAAAGGACAATGTTGCCATTCATGATTGTACACTAGGGTTGTATAAATCACAATACTATTACTACTAATAGTTTGATCGTAATGATGTATGATGTAGATCCTAAAATGGAATTTAACCTTCAGGTGGTATGCAAAACTCAACTTTGACAGAAGCTATTATATGAAGAGTTAAACTTTCTTAAGAGTCCTTCTGCTATATTTCCTTACAGAAGTTATTTTAAAGACAGCTTCTTTTAAAGAAAGACCCCTCACTTATTAAGTTAGAAAGTGCAGACCTAGCAAAATGAATAAATAACTATAATATAATTCTGAAAAAGAAAATGGTAGGAGAGTCACATTTAATAACAAAATTATGTGCTTACAGAATTATTTAGATTCCTATTCCATTCAATTATTTATTGCCTTGTACATATTTATTCAAAATACCTGCAGGTATCCCTTATAAATAAACATTACACATAAAATGCTACTCATAACTAAGTGCTTTGTAATGCTCAATAGTTTTAACTAAAGAAGACTGCCTCAGATTATCACCCCAAATTTCCATTTTGAAAATCCATTGTAACATTTTCAGAGTTTCTGCCACATGGAATGCATTTTCACATCCAATTCAAGAGAGAATATATAGGGATTTTCACACTGCTATAACAGGAAACGATGGCTATTCTCCTGGTTCAGCGAGTCAGCTGACCAGACCTAAATTGTTTGGGATGACCTACTGTGAAGATCTAGTGACAAGACAGATGAATTTATGGATTTCTAAACTTTTTTGCAAAACATAAATGTTACTTCTTGAGTACGTCCTTGTTTCTGAACCAAGCAAGCACAGGATTTGGAAGAAAATGGTTACAGACAGCATTTTTGAACAGAAAAAGTATAACTAAAGTTACATCATGATTGTAACTTAACAAGCAATCATGTCACTTCTTTTGCAGGTTAAATGTACCATTTCGTTAATTTCACAGTTATTAGGTCTCTGATTACTAATAATTGTGTGCCATCAAGTTGATGGAGCTGTAACCTCACATGAATGATGAAAGCACTGAAGAGCTATCAAAGGTTCAAGAGCTACTTCTTGTCTTGCACTGTGTTGCTGATTGTAACTTAACAAGCAATCATGTCACTTCTTTTGCAGGTTAAATGTACCATTTCGTTAATTTCACAGTTATTAGGTCTCTGATTACTAATAATTGTGTGCCATCAAGTTGATGGAGCTGTAACCTCACATGAATGATGAAAGCACTGAAGAGCTATCAAAGGTTCAAGAGCTACTTCTTGTCTTGCACTGTGTTGCAAATGTTAAAGCAGCAGTAAGGTGGACAGAGTGAGAGTACAACAGCCTGTAATGTCCAGAGCTCTTTCTTCAAAGAATTATTTAAAAAAGAAATTTGGTCTGAAGAACTGTAGCCCACCTTGCTCTGTGTCGAATTTAGGAAACCTTAAGCATAGTGTTTTCTTTTTTAAAGAAAGTAACCAAAAGGCAATTGTTTCAGATATCATTTTTCAGAAATGGGAAATTCAAGAGTTACTTTCTGTATCTATAAAGGTAGCTAACTACTTTGGGGTAGCATTGGAACTGCAGCTCTAGCTAATTACTTTTAAAAGTGATTTCTCAAGCTCTGGGCAAGAGGCAGGCACTATCGCACTGTGTTCACGATTTTTATCAATTCGAGCAAGTATAGTGAGGACAGGTAAGCCTTTAGCACTGGAACTTTCCTACACTCCCTGCCAACTGAAATAACAAAAACATCCAGAATAACATCCTGTCCTAACGGTTGTTAACTTGAATAAACCACGTGGATCCTGAGAAACTAAATATATGCTAAACAGAGACAATGATAGGCCAGAATTTCAACAACAGGTCATTGGCCCTAGACATTTCACTGCTCCAAATGGGGCAGAAAATTGCCCCTCTCTGATATCTAATTCAAAGTGTGTGCCACCAAAAGCCTGCCAAGTTATTTTGTCATCCAGTGCAGAAAATCCTACTAGCACTGGTTCCCCTTCCTGTCAGTAAAAATAAGAAATGTACAACAAGACAGACAGTATTGCTAACATCTGGCTGTTCTTTTATGATACCCAACAGCTGCCACTTGAGATGCCTACCTCATTCTACCTCAAGGTAGGACAGGCTGTGGCCAACAATAGTTTCTATCCACTTTGTTAACTGTACTTTACTCAAAGTTTAACTTCCTTGGCAGAATATTTCTTTGACATCTAGCTGGCACAGCTAACAACATGGAAACTGCATGGATTTTCTTCATATTTGATGTATCTGGACCTGACAAAATGATGTATTTTACTGGCACAACTTGTTCTTTGCTGATTTTCCCCCACATTCTGAGTGTCCTTTCTCCCATCCTCATGTTTTTGGCAGCTTGAAACCCTGCAATTACTTTCTCAAGGAACCATAAATTAGCTGTGCTGCAATCTCCTAATGGATTTTAAGTGACATGCCTCTGGTAAAGGATCAAGGTAACACATTACTTTAATAGCCTTTATTTATATTACAGCAACAATGCAATGCAAAGGAAGATATTTTCAGGAAGGATGGGGTGACAGAGGCATCCTTTTCTAAACTTTTGTAGTCAGAGGGGAAAAAATAGCAAGAACTCCCAGTTGCAGGAAATTTCCAATCTCTCCTGAATTCCCTGGTAAAAGAGAAAAACTTACATTTTGGACTACAATTCCCATAGACCCCAAGCCAACTGGTAGGGGACAGCTACCTCTGTATTTTGAATTATAGCCTAAATTATAACTTTCTCAAACTTCTCTCAGGATTACTGACACCAGAATCCTCACATAAGTTTTCAGAGGAAATCAACTCCAGGTCTGGGACAATCTCAACTTTTGATCCTGTCATTCAGGACCCAATTATCTGACTCTTAGCTAATTTTTTAACTCCTTCCTGACCAAACAAGCTTACCAAAATCATGCTTGCAAGGGGATTCTGTGTCTCATTGTAAAAAGTGAGACACAAAAAGAATATATTTTTTAAAAATATAGGTATTGCAAACATTTTAATATATATATTTTAAAAGAACGTATATTCAGAAGCTCACTCTTTTAAGTTGTGAAATTACTTGTTTTTTGTTTTGTGGCTGGGGATGTTCTTACTTAATGTTAGTAGAGCTTTGTTGCCCGCATCCTGTCATAGTCACTTGCCATAGTCTTCATTCCACCCATTTTATCACTATACAGTTGCTCGGTAATTTAAAAAAACTCAACAAGAAGCCATCTAGTCACTTCTGATGTATGGTGACTATATGAGTTAATGACCTCCTAAATTTCCTATCATTAACAGCTCTGCTCAGATCTTGCAAACCAACAGTATCTCATGTTAGACTGTTCTCTCGTCCTACTCCCCTTTTTCTAGCAATATTATCTTTTCCATTAAGCAGAAGAAAGTATCCTATAGACCATTTTGACTGCTGAGATGCATCTAATCAACATTCAGGCTGCCCTTAGATATGTAAAATTTGGCATCATTTTTTCCTGCTGGCAATGAAGGGATGATATTGTGCTACGATATCAGGCCATCTCCTGGCATTTTAAATTGTGGGTACAGAAGCACAATAGCATTGTATTAGTAGTATTAATAGCAGATAAAAACGATATCTGACTCATAATCCTTAGTCTAGGAATGATATTATCAGACACAATGGGGCTGATTCAGCAGTGCTTTGAAAATTGGGTTAACTATGGCATTTGAGTACGGTCATAGCATATTACTGTCTGAACAAGCCATCTTTGCATTGCTAAATTAGCATGACAAATAGCCTGTGAAATGTGGGCAATGTCTCATATTATCAGGAGAAGGAATTAATGACAGGGCTCAAAAGACTCCTTTGTGGCTCTCATGCTTTCTGTTTTTCTTTTGCTCAAATATATCAATTGCTGTCGCAAACTCCTAGGCACTCTGACCTGAAGAATCTTAAAACATATAGACCCGTTAAAGTCCATTCCCTTTCACACTATCTCAGAGAGTACCAATAGCTGTTGCTCAATAATACATATACAGTGCATATAGTAATTATCAGAGACTGGCCAATGTCTGCACAGCAGATCCATGGTTCAGTGTCCCACTCCCTCTGGCAGGCACACACTCAGAGGCAGCGCCCAACTTCCTTGCCCATCTCCGAGTGGGCATATGCTGGTGGGTATGGGGCACTGAACCACAAATCAACTGTGTGGGGGTTTGTGCCTATCTCTAGCAATTATTACATCATCTGAGCAATATGAGCCAGCACTGTTGCAACTATATTTTCAACAATGGGTATTGAGGCTCAAAGAGAAAGAGGCGGCAGTATGACGACCCAGGACTGTAAACTGTGCCCCATCCCACCCCCTCTGACAGGCACACACTCAGAGGCAGCGCCCAACTTCCTTGCCCATCTCCGAGTGGGCATATGCTGGTGGGTATGGGGCACTGAACCACAAATCAACTGTGTGGTGGTTTGTGCCTATCTCTAGCAATTATTACATCATCTGAGCAATATGAGCCAGCACTGTTGCAACTATATTTTCAACAATGGGTATTGAGGCTCAAAGAGAAAGAGGCGGCAGTATGATGACCCAGGACTGCCAACTGTGCCTTAAGAGTAGCTGGATTGATTCCCTATTAGCAAGAACAGCAAGGCGCAGCAAAAGACGCGTGCAATATGGAAGGCTCCTGTTCAGCATTTCCAGCAGTTCCACTCTGCCCTCTCGCAGGGAGTTCAACCCCTTTCCATCTCCTCTCAGTTGTCTACTCCCAGGCCCCAAGAGAGTCTGCATTCAATGCTCACTGAGCACAGCAAGCCCTCGAGAGGCTGTACATATGTTTTCTTCTCTTAGCCTTTTTTAAGCAAGTGCTCCTTTCCGCAACCTCTGAGGTTCTCCCAAACCTTCTGAAAAAAAAGTCCCTTTGGGTGTAGATCTCTCAGATTACACACAATCTAGTTTTAAAGAAGGTTCTACTATTAGAATATCTACTAGCCTTCCCCAACATGGTGCCTTCCAGATAAAGTGGATTATAACTCTCATTATTCCCAGCCAGCAGGGACATTGGGATGATCGGGGACGTAATCCAATGCATCTTGAGTACACCAGTTTAGGGAAGGCTGGATAATGTTAACTCTACTTCTTCTGATAAACAAAAGGACCAGGTTTAAACAGTTGGTTACCCTAAAGGTAGCCAGGGAAAAGGAAGACACAGCTGGGATTTTAATCGGAGATGGCCAGCTTTCTTTTATGATGATTTTGACATTGGCTTCACGCTTGGGTCCTGGCCCTTTCTGCAATATAAATTTGTATGTAAAAGAAGGATTATTATGTGATTATCTTTAATGGTTAAAAGCATCTTGCTTTTCAGCCATATCTGAACAGTTTTCAATCACAGCTGCCATCAAAACACAAGTATTTTCTGCATTGTTTCATTCAACAAACCTTGCTAATATTTTTATGTCCTTCTTGTTCACCACCAAAGTGATGTGGCTGTAATAATGCCAGACACAACTGAAACCCAATCCACTAAACCTAGATATAGCAAGTTCTAGAAGTCCAAAGATCTGAGACCTTCTTTGCCCTCCAGAAAAGCCTTAATTCATTCCCTTCCATAATTTGCAAGCAATGCTTAAATAAAGAAATTTTGTACTCAATAATGTCCAAAATTAAAGGAATCTTTGCCCATTGAAAGCAATCACCTGTAAAACAAGCAGACAGGAGGTGGGTCACAATCCTTTTCTTCGTATAAAGTATCTGGACAATCACGACCACCATTGGCAGGGAGCTGCAATATGACTCGATGTCGAGATTGTTTTGTTACCGCAACACCCCCTGTAAACAAACATAGAAACACATTGTACTCTCCCATTTTTTTCCCTGTAGACATTGGACCACTAGATTAGAATCATAGAGATTAAAGGTATAAAAGAAAGACAATGTATAAAATAGACTCTCTATAGATTTTATTTTTTAAAAAAAATCAAGAAAGTAAATATTACCACCAAGGACCTCTAACCAAAAATGAAGCGTATATTTTAAAAATCTACTTTACATCAGATCCTGCAGTTCAGTATCATTATAAAGTAGGCACAGGCAAAATGTGGCAGGGGAATGCAGACCTATGTTTTTGCAGCTCCCTCCCCCCCAGCCCCCTCTTTATCTGGCCAAAAGAGGTGAACCGGTTTGCAAGCCCACAGGAGTACGGATTCATCTTTTGAATAGGTTGCAAACATAAGCGGTAGAAATAATAATGATGACGATAACAATAAAAATTAAAAACAAACAGCATACTGCTGCTAGAGAGGAGCAGAACTATCACACAGATGTTTTCAATATTACTACACTGTGTATTGCATTTACCATATTAGAAACAACAGGCCTAGCTCCTCTCCCCTGCCACATTAAACCTTTCAGTGTCCTCCTTAAACCTTGCAGTCTCCACACGGTCTTTATTTCCTCAGAAGGTTACAAGTTTAATCTGTCTAATCCTTTATTAGTTAGAGAATAATCAGTCAACAGCAGCTGCTAAACTGACTTTGTATTCGTCTAATTTTTTTTTAACAACACGAGCATTAACTGTGAAGTATAAAAGGTATCTTTTCAGTACGACAATCCCATGGCTTTTGAAAATAGGTGGCAATGAGTAAGCACCATACGCCACAGAGGGATTAACACACATGAACAAGGAATTATATTATGGACTGCAACCATGATAGTGCATATTAAGATGAATGTCTCCTGCTAAGCTCCAAGAAGAGAAACGGATTTAAGGCAAAAAATATCTGGGTAACATTAAGTCAGGTTCTTTTTAAAAAAATGTTCCGTAACCACAATTACAATGCCGAAGAAAATCAAAAGGCATGTGAAAAGCTGAGCTGCTAAAGAAAGGAGTAGCACTGAACATCTGGCTGCATGTGTTTAAACACAAGACCGAACACTGTATGAGAAGTAGGTTTAAAACAAAACCATGTTACCTCTCTTCCCGCTAGTACTCATTGCTTTGCATTCCCTTTGACCAAGGAAATAGTGGCGCCTTGCAAGACAATTAATCCACAAGATGATTAGTTTTTATGATCACTGTTGCACTCCACAAGACGATGTTTTCCTATGGACGATTTTCGCAAGATGACGATTTTTCCATTGGAATGCATTAAATAGATTTCAATGTATTCCGATGGGGAACTGCATTTCGCAAGATGATGTTTTCGTAAGATAGACCGCATTTCGCAAGATGATGTTTTCGCAATATAGCATTTTTCGTGGAACGAATTTACATCGTCTTGTGAGGCATCACTGTATATACAAACATATCGTCTTGCGAGGCATCACTGTATATACAAACGTGTAGCATAAAAGTGTCAAAAATTTCTTTCTGCTGATTTTTTTTATGGTTTTAAGAGGGTACAAACTGTTTACAACTCCCTAACAAGCAACATGGCAAGTATTTCTGCTATTATATGAATCTTGTTTATCTCAGGGTTTCTCAGTTGCTATCAACACAAGATGTCGGTAGGTAGTCACCAGAGCAGGACCCTCCTTCCAAAATTTGGTGCAGGAGTGAGATACCCTTCCCTCAGTCCACGGACTATCCTGATACAAGACTTGAATGCACAATGAATGCACAAGAGAAATATAGAGAGTTACTATACTGAGTTGTTTGCATTACTGTTTACTAAACTATCAGTTCCATTTCCCCAAGAGGACAAATTCATAATTAAGAGATCTAAACATTCAGACTAACAAAGCCACTGTTCATATCACACTAAACACAAGCTGTTATCTGACCTGAAGCATTTCAGAGAATGAGCCCACATGCTGATTTTATCCATAATCAGTCATTATTCCTGCAGAACCTTGGCTTAATGTGATGTCCCAACAGTTTAATTACTATAACGATTAGAGATAGCTCTGCACAAGATCTAGATTAGCACAGTGGCCAGGACCTCATAAGAAAGAGATTATTTTCTACATATTGTTCTTTGTGTTGTTTTGTACTCTAGGCCAGAGATGGGCTGTATATTCGAAGAAATAAGTAAATATCTTAAAAAATGTGAAACTAAAAGTTTCATATTTACAAAGCATCTGTTTCACAGATTAAAGACCAACACTTTGATTTCAGGATACTTAAGACTGCCTGTTTATTTATAAGCTCCATACCTGCACAGAATTCTCTGAAGGCTTCATTATCAGGGAAACCCCTTTGATAGCAGGATATTGAAAGGAGGACACAAGATGTCTGGTGCTGGCCAGCCTGTCTTCTGGAGAACAGCACTGCTGCATACAGCACTCTTTCTTCCTATGCCTGCAGTCTCAATAGCACTCAAACAGCCAGTATGTTTCACTGGCTGCATAACAGCAAGTCTACTTTTTTCACAGCCAGAGAAAAAGCTATTCTCTTCTTAACTTGTAACAAGACAGACAGAAGGATTTTAAGAGTTCAAGATTGCAAAACACTGTGGGGTAAATTGTGTGCTATGTTATAAACCTCTGGTTTCTGTACATGCAACTCACCATACCTAGAACTGATGAAAACAGAAACTATAATGCCAGGTGGAAGAGATCTGAACCTCCCCACACAACACTCTTTTAATTTCAAATCTGTGGCCTCCACATGCCCACTAAAAAGTAGATTCCCACCCAAGTACAAAAGTCCTGGTATGGATAGGACCACATGTATTGACTTGTCCTTATGTTAAAAAAAATACTTCAAATGCCACTTATTTAAGATGTGGTGTAGTTCAGCCCTATGTAGCAAATTGTTCTTAATGTGAAGAGTACCTTCTTGACAGGATGAAGGGCATGGAGTCCAGTCGCTGTAAGGCGTCACAATGCAGTCTTTCCTACAGGGTAGCAAGCAAGGTCTAACAGTCTCAGGGCGAAGGCTTTCAGGACACCTATAATGATGGCACAAGGGATAGAAGGAAAACAGAATCTTAGGTCATGTGGAACAGGAACATAGACACTCAGAAGTTATTATACGAGTGTTCTGTTGTCATGTAAGATGTATGTAGAGTGAGGGGAAACTGGAAAGATCACAGAACTTCAGAAGAGCCAAAGTCTGAAGAGTATGATGTCTTGTGTTCACTTGTCTCGCTCTGACCTTCCTACAGGTGGGTTTTCTTGTTTGCCTCCTAATATTGCTGGGGTTCTCTTGGTGGCATTTAAGAGTTGAACAATGGCACAAAGGTATTGCCTACATATCAGCTGATCTAGTTGGATTGGAAGAATCCTAATGAATTACCAAGGGAACTGTCCTCCCCATGTACGTAGCAATTGTTAGTTAATATGTTAGGTCACTCCAAGTATTATTTATTTTATTTTATTTTATTTTATTT